GGAGAAACAAATAGAAATTAAATCACAGAGAAACAACCTCGTGGAAAATCGAGCTCCTGAGACAACAAGTCACAATGAAATGCTGCGAGACGTTTTGAACAGAAAATAGTATATTACCTGTCAGGAGCATTATGGGTGTAAATATTTGCTTATACACACTGAGCTGTCAGGAAAACTTCACTCGGCTTAATCTGCCACTTCCCAATGAATGCCTACCCTATATACACCTTTGCTCATTTATATTAAAGATCTTGTATAATATTTAGAATCATCTTAAAATTTTCTCAATTTGTCTCAATTCATGAATACAGAAGGAAAAAGTAAGTGATAATGATGCTGTTTCACCGCATTCAAAGTATGCAACTCGAATTCTCCAGCCGTCTTAGGCTGTGTTCACACTGCAGGTCAATTCTGATTTTTTAACCGTGTGACACATATCTGATTTTTTAATTTAAGTGTGAACAGTGCAATTCTGATTTTTTACAAATCCGACCCAGGTAGGCCTGTCACGATAACAAATTTTGCTGGACGATAATTGTCCTTAAAATTATTGACGATAAACGATATTATTGACAATGTTTTTCAAATGATATATAATGGTAATATTTTGCATAATAATGTGAGTACACCATGTCAAAAACGCTAAACTTTTATTTCTCAAGATGAAGAACTTTTAAATAAGATGAACCATCGACAACAACAAAAAAGACAAAAAACAATGAAAATAAAATGGACTCACATTCTGTTTTATCAAAAATTACATTCAGATAAAAATTTCAATCACAACTAAAAACAATAAAAAAAAAAAAAAAATAGACCAGTTGTGGTAAGGAAAAAAAACCTACTCTCCACAAAAAAAAAAAAAAAAAAACTACACTCACCTAGACCCAGGCCTCTTTTGTATGTGGATATAAATCGGATATGTATCTGATATGACTGCAGTGTGGACGCTTAGGTCGTGTTCATCCGACCTATACGTCATCAATATGCGATAAATGTCACCATTGTTCGACAACGTAAACAGGCGCGGAAAGCAATGGCGGACGAGGGAATGGAGAACAGCCAGTTGTGCGCATGCAGGTCACTTCACGGACGCGTTCTGTTCACATTAGATGTCGCATTCATTGTTGTAATTTGAACGACCGCACAAAAAGATCGGATTTAACAACAAATCCGAATTGTGCATCATAACCTGCAGTGTGAACGTAGCCTTAGATTATTGCAAACACTACACACTGTCCCTCGAGGGTTTGAATCCTCTCTCCGTTTCAATCTGTTTTTTTTTTTACAAAGTCATCTTGTTGTCACAGGTGTAAAAATCTCCAATTATCATAAAACATCTTAAACCCTTGTTGGTCCTTTTGCCAAAGCTCGCTGGGTAACTGAGAGGAACACACCTCGGACAGCTATAACACCAGTCTGGTTATTGTAAATCACAGCGCTCTATATGTCATAAAAAAGAAACGAGCCGCCCTCGCTTTATAGGGACATAAAACGCGATGATTCTGTCCCAGGCTAAAACAGCCATGCACAGGCCCGTCCCTGTGTACCGCTGAAAACCACAGACATGACTGGAGTAACAGGATTATGGTCTCAGGATACATTCGCGGTGTGTGGGTGACGTTTTAATTTGGATTGCATCTTTATATTATGTTGAATCCTTGAAGCTATTGGATTTTTTAACTATTTTTTATGAATTCACACAAACATACTTTCACATCCAGACATAGTTAGATCTAAAACAAGAGCCTGGGGTGTTTCCTCCCCTTTGTCCTCGACAAATAGCCGGTCTCCGGCAGTGCTGATTGGAACAAACACGCTGGCAAAGTGGAAATAGTGGAACATTTGGTTTCTCATTGCAGCTCTTCCATTCAGCTTTGTTCCCATTTCCTTTGGTGGTCCGACCCTGTCACTACGGATCGTCTCGTCTGCTTGAGTCCAGGCATTTACAAAGTGGGATTTTTTTTTCCTCTCAACTTTTTACAAAGTGAACTGTAATGAGTGCACATAAGTTCAAGTTGGAGGCGCTCGGGGTTTACTTTGGTCTTTTTCATGTCTCTTGAAACGTCTATTCCTCACTTTGGAGAGAAATCTCACACCTGGCCTCGCAGTCGTTCACCTGCTGCCTCTATTTAAAAATGTAGCACCGTTAAAGCTTGAAAACCTGTACTTTAAAGCTCCTTTGTGAATTTTAAAGCTAGCTATGAAACTGACGAAGACCAGTAGTAATGTCTCTTTATCATCTATTTAGGTAAACAAGACCATTAGTGTGAAGATTGATCATATTTTAATGCCTCAAAACATTGTTGGGGAGTAGCTGTCCGACCAAGTCAATCATCATAACACTTCTGACACGAACTTTCTGAGTTATTGTGGTTTTAGTCAAACAATAGGGCTAACGTGTGATGTTTGGGGTTATTTTAAAAAAGCAAAATGAGATATTTGTATTTTCATGTCCACAGGAGCTGTAATCAAGAACTTCAGTGACTAGAAACGATCATTAGTAGCAGCAAAAAAAATTTTTTTCCCCAAAAATGCCAACTGTTTTTGCATTTTTTCTATTTTCCATTGGTGGATTTGACCAATCAGAATTGAATATTTCATACAAAGGTAACTAATTGAATCATTTACTTTCTTGCTAATCACCCAGATGTGCTTAAACTTTGGTGCCACCAACTGTCTCTATCTATCTATCTATCTATCTATCTATCTATCTATCTATCTATCTATCTATCTATCTATCTATCTATCTATCTATCTATCTATCTATCTATCTATCTATCTATCTATCTATCTATCTATCTATCTATCTATCTATCTATCTATCTATCTATCTATCTATCTATCTATCTAAAGTTAGAAGTGCATATTTGTAAATAAGTAAAATATAAAGTGAATAAGGGCCACTGGATTCTGGAAACATGACGTTAGCATGAATTGATTGGCATTTTCTGTTGTCTTTGTAGCCCTTTTGCTTCCTCATCTCCCTGAAATGACTTTGATTTCTTCTCCCCGCTTGCGCAGATGTGTCACTTACAGGAACTGGGATCGCTTTAATAGGCCGCATGTGCGCTCGGGAAGAATGAGCTGATTAGGCGACCATTGAGTCCACACTGTTGCATGGAGCTGATTTCTCCAGCATCATCACGAAGCTCCCCGGAAACCCGGATTAATTCCACACATTTGTTCTTCTTGTACAGAGAAAATCGGGGCTGCTAAATTTATCAGAATCGCCGGGCAAACATAATCACGTACTGCTTTATTTTCTCAGGCTGAACTTGTAAGAAAGACGGTTAACACCACAGCCCACCCATCCACAGGAACACACAAGCAGCTGCTGTAAACAAACCGGCACGCACACACACTTCAATCCCCTCCAGAGTCTCCCAACACTTCCACTTTCTTAGGGATTGCTGGCGTGAAGCAGAAACATAAATCAATAACATATCTTGGCTGATCTGAAGGAGAGTAGGGAGATGTTTTTTAACCATGGAGAACACACGGCGTCACTTTTTCCTGTGCTGCTTATCAGTAAAGCTAAATAACAGAGTATAAATAACGCTCATATCATGTGAATATTTAAAGCTGTGGAGTAGCGAAAACACAGCCTGCAGTGCTTTACCCGATAACATCCTCCCTCACAGGTTTCACTCATTAATTTTTCATAAGAAAATGTGCAGTAAATGGGCTCATTACTTACATTTAATGTCATAATCATGCATGTTCACCAACATTGACGAATTAATCATTAATTCCAACCCATTAGAGAAAAAGAGGAGGGATGAAATACATGCGGCTCAGGCCTCTGTTATGATGACCGTTATAAAGTCATGGTCATATCTGTGTGAGAGAGAGCGGGCCAAATGTTTGCTTAGTGTCTCAAGAGTCGGGGGGGAAGACTTTAATCTACGCTAAAAGCACACAAGGACACGCAAAGCAGCTGGTGGAAATCCAGCACAGCTGAATGCCAGGATACACCTGTTCCTACATGTGCTGGCGGGGGTTTCAAGGTGTGCCATTGATTTTCCCGCGCAAGGCCAACTCCAAAGAGTCTAAGTGATGTCCTGTTTGCTTTGAGGTTGGATGAATAGTCAATGAGAAGGATTTATGAAATGTCGTTGATTGTGAGAGCTCTGGAGAAGGGACGGAGTATGTGAGCGCCATTACGACGTATCGCAGTTTTACAGCCAGCTCACGTTACACGCACCATGATGGGAATACTGAAGACGTCAGCGTGAGGGTACTCATAAGGGTTTTCGTTTTCAGTCCAACAGACTTGGGGGTTCTCTTTTAGATTGGTCAAGACCACCACTCCCAGTGATCCGTGTATTTTGGGGTCATCTGATTTCGATCATGACCTCAAAAACTAAAAGAGGAAATGGACTCATTTCCCATTTTTCACTTTAATATCGGACTGCTGCGGGGTGACGCAGCTCAAGGAAGAACATTTATGATCATTTCTTCATGGAAATACAATCAGACCGGGACGCTAAGACAGAAGAACTACCGCGTCTGCAGAGCAAAATGATTAATATGGTGTTATTACTTCAAGGAAAATGATCACAAATGTTCTTCTTTGAGCTACGTCACCGCACAGCAGTCTGTAATGGACTGGCCCGAGGTCTCGCTACAAACAAGCGGCTGCTGGAAGAGAGTAGGTGAGTTGTGTTTAGTCTCTTTGCTAAAGAAATGAGTCAAAGTTAAAAAGATGTTTGGTGTCTAGTACTATGTCTGTGACCCTATATGTACTGTTGATGAAGTTAGGTGCTGTTCTGAGCATTATTTGTGGCTATAGAGTGGCGTTTTGGTTGAGCGCGTGTCTCTCTGTATTGCTATCGTGCGGTCGTTACTAAAGTAGGTATAACTAGAGAAGCAAGCTGTCAGCAACATTCATCTCTGAAGGGGGTGTCTGACTCGGCGTTACGGTGTGTTTGACCCTAAACTAATTTTACGCTGTATTATCCCTTTAAAGTAACATTATATTTTTCAGGCTGTAGCTCCTTTTAAAATGACGAGACTGCTTGGCAGGGGTTCTCAACATGGACCGTAGAAGACGAAGCAGGCATTGTGAGCGAGATATTGGTATTTTTTTTTTAAAAAATCATCTTAAATTCAGCTTTTGTGGAGGATCTGCAGCCCGTCACAGTGGACAGGAATGCTCTTTGCTGATTTGGCTGACTGAATCTTGCCTTCGGTTCAGACAGCAGAGGCGGAAAAACACCAGAAACAAAAATGGCAACCCTCCAGGAAACCTCATCTCTGCACCTGTAGGTCTTGGTCTTGACTTGGCCATTGCTTCTTCTGGGTTCGGTAGATCTTGAAAACGTCCAGTATGGTGCTACATGAACGGATAAGTTGAAAACAGCTAGCCTAAGAGAACAAAACTTTGCTTCCTTTGCAAAATGCAATAATAGTGAGATGGATTGAGGTGGTTTGAAAAAGAAAAATCCCTGAAAATAGTGAGTAATGCCAGTGAAGTAAACTTTTCATTTAGAAGGTAGAAGAAGTTCTTGTAAATGTTCCACAGTCAAAGCAAAAGTAACTCAAAAAGAAAAAAAAAAACCTCTGAAAAGAAAAAAGTGAAGGTTTGTGAGGAACACGATGGCAGTCAATGCTTTTTTGTACTACAAAAGGATTGTTTGAGTTGGATAGTGCTGCAAAACCACTTCCAGAGTAGTGTCTAATAGCTGAAAGAGAAGTGCTTTTGCAATACAGACGCCACCAAAAACTATAATCAAGGAGTTTCATGTGACTATGATGTTGAAGTATGGCAAAGGTGGTCCATTCATGGTGTTTTTTAAGTAATTATATCCATCAAAGTATCACAAAAGTATGATTAAGGTGTTCAAAGGCATTTTGAATTTTAGATGGGAGATTTACAGTAAAAGTTTGCAGCACAGTTCGTTCTTCGTCAAGATTTAACACTTTGGAAAGAAGCTGTAAAGCCCGTTCTTTCAGTGTCCTTAGCAACCGGGAACAATAGGTGCACGGAGCAGCTAAAAACCTCCATATCTCCTGGGTCACATGTTGCGCCTTTAATACAGAGCGCGGGTTTTAAGAACTCACAAAGACAGTTTTTCGTTAATGTGACGCAAACACAAAAACCCCGTCGAATTAGGAGATTTCTGCAGGAGTCCACCGGGAGTCGATACAACAAGTCAGGGAGGATTGTCAGGGCATTAGTGGGGTATAAGTACCCCAGCTCACTCCTCCTCTCTTTATTTTACAGCTCGCTAGCCGGTGGCGGCGCTCGGCCCCTCCCCTCTCATCTCATCTCATCTCGGCGCTCACTTTCTCCGACTCTTTCTGCCAGGATTAGCTGTAATATCTCGCGGGGAGTCGAGGGGCCGGAGGAATCCCAGCCACATCACACGGGCTTACGCTTGGAAAACAAGCATTAAGAGAGGGGGGATTAAGGCTGAAACCCCCCGCTAAAGAGCGGCGTGTGCACATGTTTGTGAGCGCAATTGTGCGAGACGGAATAAAACAACTCATGAGGGAACTGAAAGAATAGATGGAGGGGGTTTTAGTGCCCAAAAGAGGCCCCAAAATGCTCGCCTTCTGAGGATCAGATGCCGTAGCACCTGTTGGACCAACACGAGCCATGAAAGTCCAAATCTCCCTCGTTCTCCCGCCAACTTTTCATCCCCCTCTCATTCTCCCTCTGCTCCCCTTCTTGCCTTTCCTTTGTCATAATAGCCTGCAGATGCTTTTCATTTCACAAGCAAGGGTGTAGGTGGGAGCTTTCAACCCAGAGCGGTGCTTCAGCGAAATCGGTGCCAACGCTGCTACAAACTCGCACACACAATACGGCTCGGTGTGATTCATCCAGGAGCCTTCTGTTCCTCCTTTTCTGCTACTAGTTCAAGGCTTTTGTAGACTTCGCAAATATCGGTTGCACTGATCACGTTCGGAGAAAGAGAGAAGAAGAAAAAAACAACAAGGACTTCTTTTTAGGAATAAAGACAGCGAATTGATGCCGAATTAGACGTCTCAGAATGAGGTGTTATTGTGTGAGAAAAGGAGCGCTTGACGAGCTGTTTTGCCTTTCAGATGATTTTGTTTGTGTGACACTGTCGTTAATTATGCGCCATACAGAACAATACGGCGCATATTGCAGCGACCAAATGAGTCAGTCTCTGTAAAAACAACCATTACGAAGGCTTTGTCAATGCTGCTGAATAACTTCAGTCATTGTACAGTGTAATTACACCTCTCTACCTCTTTCTGCCTACAAATAAATGATTAGCTCTTAATAGTGATACAGTGCGGGATCTTTCAGTGATCGACCTTGTGGGGGGAACGGGCTGCGAGTTGAATGGCTTCTTTGTCTCTCCAGTCAAGAAAATTTAGAGGAGTGGTAATTGAGGCCTCCTAAGAAGAAACGTTAAATGACTTTGGGGCGATAAACGGCTGCAATCAGGGAGATTAGAGTCCTTTGTTTCTTGCTCATTGTGGATCACGGTGACGCAAAGTCCACAATATCAGATTTCCGGTAATATTCCAGTTATCATATGTCATGGAAAACAAACAATAAATCTGTTGAATTGAGGACGTTTCAGTGCTTTACTTCCTGCACACTTGAACCTAAGCTTTTATTTTGAAATTATGCATCTTCCAGTAGATCGTAAGTGACAAAACTGGAGGAGAACAGTTCATCAGATCCTCAATAAATCTTGTAATGTCAGTAGTGCTGCAACTAACGACTATTTTTTTGTCGACTAATCTATCAACTAGTCGTCCGATTAATCACTATCTTCTTTATTTGTAAACACCTATTTCCGGGTCGTCAGCGTTTCAGGTGCTCATGCATCGCCGTGGTGCTGCCATGGTAGGAAACCTGAGCTTTGCATAGTTTGCACTCAACGTGTTTTTTTGGTTTGTTCTCCGTAAAATGTTCCCACACTTTTGAAGTTTTGGGTCGGAGTTTTGGAGCGTCTTCTTCAGTTTTTTCTGCCATAATGTGTGCACTCTTCTTCAGTGTTTGCTCGCGGGATGTAAACAGCGAGCGCAACTGCCCCCAGCACATCCTGTAGTGCAATCGTTGCAGCCCTAAATGTCAGTTTTTTAAGGTCGCTAATCATCTCTTGAAGTCTTGCTAAAACTAGCTCACTAGCAGGCTTACATTAGTTTGAATTTCCTGAAGTTTATACAGATGTTTAGTCTGTTTTTTATCTCAAAAGTCCAAACTTGCACTAGAGAAATGTGAGGACTTACTGTCAAGCCAAATTTCTCGTATTCAACAATACGCTGATAACTGGCTAGTTTACTTCAGAGTTGATTTCCTGCTTTTTGTTTGCTTGGATTTGCTGATTTTTGCTGACCTTAAACTCATACTTTTGAAGTTATCGGTCAAACCAAACCCTCCAATATCAATCAATACGCTGATGACTTGCAGGTTTAGTATCGTGTGGATAGTTTGGGTATGATTGTGCAAAAAACACATGTATTTTCTTGCGTGTTTGTCCAGAGCCGTATTTATCATTAATCTCTACATTTCCTGACACTGAATTCGCTTGTTAGTTTTGCTTTATTCCTGGTATTTGTCGACAGGCGAGGTTGCTTTAAAAGTATACAATACTGTGTCGAGCATTCAAACCAGTCGAGGGAGAAGAGATAACTGCGGCTTTGTTTGTTCGAAAGCACTCGGCCACCGCTACAGCCATGAATGTAATAAGCGAGGTGTTAAGTCTGACTGCACAGCTGCGAAGAAAAGACGGCATTGATATGATTTCATATGGTGAAGATAGAAAAGGCTCAGAAACCCAAGATATGACTGTTTACTTTACTCAGTCGTACGCAGAATAAACAACAAAACAGATTAGTTTTTCGTATTTTTTATGTCCATTCATAATCTTAATTACTCCATATAGCTAACAGTAATTGTATAAATCACTGGGAGTTGAAGTGTGAAAACCAAGAGCTGCATTAACATCCATTTAAAAGCTGCATTATAAGCTTAAATGTCAAGTTTCGCACGTTGAAAGTAAATTTGACCACGCTTAGAGATGACTACACTTTAAAAATGTCTTATCTACAAAGATAATCTAAACGCCCTTTACTTTGACTCACTGATAATACATGTGTCAAAACGCTGAATGCCAGCACTTCCTCCATTCTTACGTCCACAGATTAAAAATCTTCTGGGACGCGCGGTGACAGTTTCAGCACACGACCTGGAAAACCAGAACGAAAGAACATTAGGATGACACAAAGATCATGCTCCAACAAACCAAGTGAGATCACAAAGCAGCCCAAGGTCAAAGACGGAAATGAAGCTATGTAACCTCTGAATGCCACTTAGTGAGGAAGACCACCTGGAGCTGCGGAAAACAGAGGGCAATTTTCACTTATCCTCCAAGGGTTCACTCCTCTTCCCAGAGCCGAGCTCAGATGATTCAACGGATGAGAGGAAGGACACCTGGAGCAGCAGGCGCTCCAATCGATACCCAGCTGGCTTTTGCAGTACCGGGGGGTCAGAGTGTCGAGCGCTTGATTGGTGGAAAAGCCCGAAATAACCTGCAGCTTGTCGTGGAATGCGTGACCCCGTCATTGACACGGCACTTGGCCAGATTGGAGCAACACCAACGAATCCAGACGTGAGAATAGAGCGATATTGGATTTTTCAGCTCCTCAGCCTTTTGAGTTCTATCCATTTTACTCTCTGATTTTAAGTTGACATGCTCTGCTCTGGCTGCTATATTGTGCCTGTTTAAATTGCTGTGAAATTGTTATCTGTTTTTGTGTCTCCTGCGGTGAGGAAAATACGTACCTCTATTACATCCTTTTGTAAACCTGCTGCGATGTACAGAATAAAAGTTGATGTACTTTCAGGATGGCAGAATCCCAGTTTGCTTGTATGAACTTGAGAAGAGTTTACTGCTGCCTGTTACTTTGACTGGCTCTTCAAACGGATGTGTTAGTCAATGACTCATGTCAGACGCTGGCCTGATCAATATTTGACATAAACAATGCCTCCATGAGAGCAAAAAATGGCCGCTTGTTACGGAAAAAATGACTTTTTGCTTCCCTGCCATTTAAAGGAACTTTTTAACATCTTTCAGCTTATGTTTTGTTTGTTTTTTTTGGCACATTTAGCATATTATCAATTCTGCTTCAGTCTCATAGCTTATGTTAGCATTGATAAAATCATAAATGTCCCATACAATAACAATATAATCAAGTTTTCCTTGTTTTTACATCCAAACTTCATTCTTTGGTGTTTCGGTGTGAGTTCTCCTGGAGGGCTCGCCGATTTGAGTGTCAGAGTTTTTCCACCTCTACATTTCTTCAACAGCCGATCAGCAAACACTCTCATAATCACAAGGATGATGAAGTTATAAACTGAGAGGCTGCAGACCCTTGTTTTAAAGCCATGTCTGGACAAAAATAGACATTACTTAGAAAGAAAATTACCAAATCTCTTTTGACTAACCATTCATGGATAAATCAGTCCACAGCACAAAGTGTTGCCCAGGAAAACATCAATGAGTCCCTTTCATTTGATGTCAAGCCCCTCACCTCCTTTCAGCAGATAAACAAGCTCCTGAATGCAGCAGCTCCATTCAGGACCAGCGGCTTTTGTGCGAAGCCACTGAAACATAAAATTGCTAAATAGCTCTCCCTCAACAAAGAAGTCCTACCTGGCTGCTTATGAACTAGTCGTGAAGCAGCCGTCACTTAACAACCACCGCCCTCTATCCATCCTAGCGTCCTTAACACCTTAAATAAATCCCCTGTCCATCTCAGATGACAAGATAAATACCATCTACCTTCTAACCAGACAGGGAAACCTGTCCACCCTGGAGGGGAGTAAGCGTTCGCTTCCCTAAAGGAGAGATAAGGATAAGTGATGGTTTGTGAACCAACAAGCTCTTCAAGATAAACTGAAGCTTTTGACTTTGCGGAGGGAATTTTTGTCCCCAGATGAAGGGCAGTTATCCTTACACGCGTTCATGATAGCTACAGATAAAGCTTTGTTAAGCTGACTTTGCAGGGGGATTATTTTTGCATTTATCTGCATGTAATTATTATTTTTTTAATTTGGGAGGACAAACACAAACTCCCAGTGCTGGAATTTGTCCAAAACAGTCGGGGGGGATAAAGAGGAAAATCATGTGGAGATTAAGAGAAAAGGTGATGATATTTGCAGTGATCTGCAGCATCTGTAAATAGAGGCGAAGGATAGACGTGGCTTTGTCATTGGTATTCCAAATAAATACCCCTTCCTCTGGAGGTTATTACTCTTTTCTTAAACATAAATAAAACTTGTATTTTCTTGTTGCACTGGGGTATTCTTGGGTTGCACTGCACATTACGTATTATTGATGCACTGCAGGAAAAAACTCCACAAGTGTGGACTTTTACCTCCACTCACAGTGACGGATTTGCAAGGCCACTCATCTTTTTCCTCTTTTCGTCTCCCTGCAGTCCATTTTCGCACAGTATCTTCCAAAATCCAAAGTCCCAAACAGATTTTTTAAACCCGTTTTCCTCCACACGGCCGCATCGAAAAACCACCACATAAATATATTTCCTCAAGGATGTGTCTTTGTGCTTTACCCGGAGAATATCAGGAATGATTAAAAAACCTTTCAAGGGCTTTATATTTTTTGGCTGACTTCCTTTGCCTCTCTCCTGGTGGTTATTTAAGCTTCCAGATGTGAGATATGGGTAGTTAGAAATCCAACTCATACGCCCCGATGAGAGCAAAGTGTCATTTCCAATCAGGAGCGAATAGTCGCGCAACACCTGTTAAAAATCTCCCCAAACTCTAATAAAGCGCGATTAAGTGTGGCAGATATTGGAGGAGTGACGCAACACACTAACAGCAGATGTGAAAAGGATGTCAGGACGAGTCATGCGGGGATGCTCTGTGTTAGCGCCGGAGATGATTGGGTGAACGTCTGGTCACCTGTGAACGTTTCATGGTCAAGGTGCGGTTTTCATTAGCCGGTAAAGCAGATGTGACGGTCACCTGCAGGAGACGGTGGAGGCGGCAGATTGTGGAATCAAGATGTGAAGCAACTGAGGTGTGTTCCTCGTTAGTCATGTGACTTCTGTGCACATGGAGTTTGGACTTGTTTGTGGTTCTTGAAGACGCGAAACGTTCCTGTTGCAGATATCGCTTCAGTTTTTGCCCCATCTGTCAGGAAGAAAACAGAAGGAATGCAAAAAAATAATCCCCTAGATTTCTATTTTGAGCGTCGGTTTTGGTGAATTTTTGCAAAAACACTATTTGCATGCGTCACAGACATGTTGAAACCTGAATGCTGAGCGAGTTCATTTAGAAAATAAGTTTTCAGTCTTGACTTTGACCTTGGGTCGGGGGCGTGTTGGTGCAGCGAGAGGTTGGGTGCAGAGGGACCCGTTTGGTTTGGCAGGTGTGGGCAGGGTGCCAGGATGGGGCTTCTTTGATATTCAGCACTCGGTGAGGGAAACGGAGAAAGAGGAGGTGGGTGAGGGGAGAAAATTGGAAGAAAAAAAAAAGGAACAAGATGGAAAAGGAAATGGAGAGAGCAGGATACAGAAGACTGAGGTGTGCTGTAGTTTGCTTTGACAGCATCACAGGCTGCGGTTCAAAGGGGGAAGGGGAAGAGGAGGCCGAGGGATGGTGTTCACTGACCTGTTTCTAATATTATCTCGGCCTCAACCTTTCTCCCCCTCTCTCTCCCTTTTGCCTCTCTCTCTTGTTTGTCCCTCACATCTTGTGTGTAACCCCCCCTTTGTGGACCATTGCCAGTTAGTTGCTCCTGTTTGCTTTCTGTCAGCGCCTCGTCTTTCATTTTCTTCCCTTTTTAGTTTGTGCAGCCATTCTCCGTTTTGTTATCTCATCATTCTTCCCTACCCTATTATTATTTACTGTCTTTCCTTCCCCTTTGTCATTTTTTTTCTCCAGCTCTTGCCATGGACCTCCTTTATTACTCCAGAACAAAGCCTTTCCACACTCCAGGGGCTGGTTGTCCTTTACATTATGCACACACAGGCCATGGAAGTCCAGTCTCCCAGTCTCTTTTAACCTTCTGATGTCTCTAGGCGCTGCAAAAACGACTGAAGATTAACTTTAGTGCAAAATTCTCCTTACAGCAACAGAAATGTTAGCCAAGCTTCTTGGTTTCTGCAAAAAAATTGCATAGCGCATCCAGCACTATGGAGATCCCAGTGGACAAAAGTGTGGGAGTATTATTTTGGAAGTAGGTGCATTCAACAAGAGTTGCTTCTGGAGTCAGTTTTGTAAGTTTTACATCAAATACGGACAGCCAGATGTGACAAAACACAAGGAAGTCCAGCTAGTAAAGTTAACATTCATCATCAGCAAATAAAGATCTGAATGCAGGTCTTGTCTGTATGCTGATAAAACATGATTCTGTCTGTGCGATTGTTAGCTAACTAGAGGCGCAGTCTGTCGTGCATTTCCGCGCCCAGTCCACGAAATAATCTAATACATGTTCTATGTCTCCACATGCTTTTAATGACACCTTCAGGAGAAAAGAGATACTAATGTACTAAAGAAAAAGGTATCGCAGGGCTCGACAGTGGGACGGTTTCACTCACATTTGCGACAAAAATAGATGTGTGCGAATTGTAGAATTAATTTAGGGGCACATGTGCGCATAACAAAATAAGCTGAGGCAACAAATTTTTTTTCATGTAAATACCGCAGCGACGTTAGTTTTAGGTTGGAGATTCGACGGACATTCCCTGCGGATCTGTCGGCGTCTTCCTGCTGTCACCGGGAATAGCAACAGCAGCGTGGTTAAATCTACGCCGCGGTGAAGTTAGCGAAGGTTCGTATCCAACGGACATTCACTTTGGATGTACCGGTGTTTTCTCACTCTCGATAACCGGGAATAGCAGCGCGGTTAAATCTACTCTGCATCCTCACTGTCAACGTCGGGTGTTGATTAAGGGACCGTCAATAAATTACCTGTTGGTGTTCTCAGAAAAGGCTGTTTTCCTTCAATAACTTCCATGTCATGTGACCAATTGACCTAAAATTCATTTCAAATAATAGTTCTTATGTCGACCAATAAGACAAACATTATTTGATCAAATTTCATCGCGCCCCTAAAGTTCCTTGTGTGCCCCTGGTGAAAAAAGTTAGTGTCAAGCCCAGAGCTAACGCTTTATCTTGTTTGCATGTATTAATTAAACATGAAAAATCTTAAACATGCATATTTTATGAGGATATGGACGGATGTTGCTCACTCTTTATACTTGTTTTTGCTGCGATCATTTTATTCCCTCATGCTCACTCTGGTCCTCTGCTTAACTAACACACACCTGCTCCTCTTTCAATCTTACTTTCTTGATTTATGATCCGGATCTGATTAATTTCTCAGCCCTGATTTGTTAGACTTCGACTTTCTTTATTGTCATTGCACAGAATAAAACGCAGCAGTGATTCCCTCTCTACAACAAAATGCCGTTACTCGGCTTCTGGTGAATTTCCAGGGGAAAAAAAATGAAGCCCCTACAACTTGAATTGCTCCTCTCAAAGTTGGATCCCTTCTTCCACTCCCTTGTGCCCTGCCTTACTCCACTTTCAGAGATCTTGTGTGAATTTTTAGTGTAAACATTTCAGAGATGGCAGATAGGAGCGAGACGTTTGAGGTTCCATAAAAAGGTGGAAATGAGAGGTAAAAGAGGGCTCATTAGCGGCTTTTCACTGCTATCTCTGGCATTTTCAAACTGCTATTTTTCCCCACTTTGCTCTCGGGATAAGGGTATATATATTTTACATCAAATGGAAAAAGACATGTTAGCATTCAGATTCTTATCCAGTGAGTGCTATTACCCCGCAGTAAAGCAAAAAAAGGGTGGCTGTAGCTCTTTGGAGACAAGCCGAGAGCCACCACAGGTCTGTCTCCTCTCCCATAACTCGACGGGGGAACTACAACATAGTAAAATAAACTAGTAAACGCTGTAAAAACGTCCAGGTGCTGCTTTAATTTCGCCCAGCAAGCTGGACGTGAAAGCAAGCAGCAGCGGGTGATGGGAAGTTTTACACAGGGAGCGATTCAAGCGGCTGCTGCCAAATAAACATAGACAGAAGGCAGCAAGGAGCAAAATGAGGTGAGACAGCAGCACTGATAGAGGATGTTTTGCATGTGTGTGTGTGCACGTAGGCGTGTGCGTGTTTCGCCTGCAGCTCTCTCATTAAGGACATCTCTCTTTCCAACACCAGCCCCTCCTGTGGTTGGATGCACACACTCACACACAGAAGCAGAGAGACACCAGCCAAACCTGATAGATGCCGGTCGGCTAATTCTGCCACATTAGCTATCACTGCCTCAGATCTCCCCCTCACGTCTCTTTATTTCAAGTTACAGAGCTAGGAAGCTAATTATTGGACTCTATGTATCCTCTTCAGAGGCCATTACACTCACAGCTTATTAATATTCAAGCTGGCTCGTATCTCCCTGAAATGCAGCCTCCATTATGACTTTATGATTTCAGGATAATCAAAATATGCTGTAATTACTCGAGTATGGTTGTGAAATATCTTTATGCAGCGGCGGCGGCGGCGGCGGCGGCTCAGTATGCATGCAGTAACTCAGGCTAACTCTTTCCTGCATGCTAATGTGCAGGCCTGTGGGCTTACCCTCTTTGCAGGAGCAGCAGCAGCAGCACAGCGATGCTGTTTATCAAAACACACACATGCACAGGAAATCCGATAGAAGGGGACACAGAGTACGCCGCAGTGGAGGATTTGAATCGGGGTCAGCGCTGTGGACGTTTTCATGAGGGGAAGCAGCAACCCCGGCAGTATGGGAAAGAAATGAAACGGCAAATGTCAATAAATCCATCGGACTAAATGCCAGGCTGATGCTAAGGAAATGTCATTGGCTGTTTATAATGGGACCCCCATACTGTGGAGGGGGAGGCTGCAGCACGTGCCACCTGCTTAGGAAGGCACCGAGCATGCAGAGACAGGCTGGAGGTGGAGGCAGGCTGTGAGATGGCAGCTCAGGAGAGGAGTGCAGGTGGTGGTGATGTGTGGAGGCTGACATTAAAGAAGAGCCGTAAAAACAGGAACGAGGCAGAGGCATCCACAGAGGCGCTGATATGCGAGCTTGGGAGACGATTTACACTTTCTATAAAACCTACTGTTGCACCAAGATTTAACGGTTAAAGGGGTCTTCCACTGAATTCAGCAATGTTCCCTTTTGATGCAGATGTGTAGCAGCTCCTTCTAGTTTCTTTAACAATAATGAAATAGGCTGAAATTCATTTTGGTGCCTTTTTATAATTTACAGAAGCAAACAAGACCATCAGTGACAAGACTGATGACTTTTTTATTGTAATTTTTGATGCTCAAAACTGTTGCGAGGGGGTCGGCATCTAGGGCTGAAACGATTCTACCTCGATTACAAATAATGATTGAGGGGCTTTTCTTGCAGTGTTGCCAACCTAGCGACTTTAGCGACTTTTACGGCAGCCACTAGCAACTTTCCTTACTGAGGAGTTTGAGACACTGTTTTCTTCTGCAGAGCTCCAGGAGCTCATTAGCACTTCGCCTCTGAGTCGTGGGTGGAGACAGCGCTGCTCTGCATACTTCTCTTTACGCTAGCTTACAGCCTAACATTGCTGGTGTCGTAGCAGAAGCAGGTAACAAAGACGTTATTCAGCTCTCGGACACTAATGTCTAAGTTAATATCATAATTAGCTTTCTGACGAGCATTGCGATCCGCTAACGCACACGCTTGTTCCGCAATTGTCCTCTATTTCTCTGAGTCTGGTCTTCATTGTGGGGCTACAGGAAATCTGACTTTATGTGAGTCTGCCATTTGGGTCCAATTACTCAAGTAATCGATAGAATATTCAGTAGAATACTCGATTACTAAAATATTCAATAGCTGCAGCTCTATATGCATCAGACAAACACCCTTTTAAAAACACCCACGCAAAAAAAAAAATCACAATAAGTGAAACATTAGACTGTCAAACATGTGCAGAATGAGCATATGTAGGGGACAGGATAAAAAAAAAAAGACTCCTTTGTCCACAGGGGGGAGCCAAAGTTGACACATACAAAAAGTTCCTTACTGGAGCTTTAAAATCGTGGCTAACAGTGTTGTTGTTGTATCAGTGTTAAACTCAGTTGAAAAGCCTTCAAAGGAGCTTTAAGTGTCATCCTTTTGTAGATTAACCATAAAAAAATGAGTCTTTAACTTATACTTTAATTGATTGGATTACTTATTAGACAACAAAGAGATATCAGAAATGTCTTTTTCACTAAATTATATAACCTCAAAGTCTGGGTTGTCTTATTAGCTCTTCTTAGCTCCTTATTCTGATTCGACCGTCGGCTTCACCTCTCAGCGTTGGATGCTTTCCACGTATCGAGTTGTCCCTTTCACACTTCCCGCCCATTCATTTGAAGCTAACGCCTTCCTTTCCTCTCCAATTTTATCAGGCGCCACTATGTCCGAGCGCCGATAGCTGCTCACTCATTAGCAGGGATCAGCTGCTCTTGTCTGTAAACCTTCTCCACTGTGAGTTCCCCCATTCTGCTTTTCTTGGACTTTCCCACCGAGATAGAGAGGCTGTAAGGAGAGAGGCTTTTTCTCTCTCTTTGTGTGTGTGTGTGTGTGTGTGTGTGTGTGTGCATCTGCATCACTGGCCACTTTCCCATGATGCAAACTGACATCAAGCAGGTAGCATTAATATTCAGAGTGTGGGTGAGTGCGTAGGTGTGTGCACTTGTGGCTTTTGAGTGTGTGCAGCTTTTACCTCGAGAAAAAAAAAAAAATCCTTCCATCGCCATCTTTGAAGTGTGCGCCGCTTGTCACGGCGGACACATTGTACACCGTGAATGTTGATAAATGTTTACAGCAAACGCCAGGCCACATTAGCGTGATGTGTGCGTGTGTTCTTTAGTAGGTGTGCGTTCAAGAAAAGAAAACAGAGGGATAATTACCGCCATGACTGTATGACTGTAGGCATGTACAGTACGTCCTAAACCCAAAGACTTGAGGAAACCAGGCCGCTGGAAACCGCACAATGGAGGACGAGGCCTTCCAGCTGCTTTGAAAATATAAACATTCATGTAAGCCAGCAGCCATACAGCTGAGCTGTGCATGTATCATCTCTGACACTTCAGAGATTACACTCAAACACACTGTTGGAGCATGTTAACATCACTGCGTCGAGTTTTCCACGCGCCTCGGCGGATTGGCTGGTCTGTGAATTGGATAAACACTGTTTAGACAAGTTCTCCATAGGAGCAGATTTGAAAATAATGGCTCCTGACATATTTACTCAAACAGACGTGATTTTCAAGGAACTGTTTTCTATCTTTACGGGTTTTCTTCCTTTTCTTTATCGCTCTTTTTCTTATTTGAGAGGAAACAGATGTAGGCCTAAGCCTTAATATAAGCATGTTTTAAGCTTTGAGTTATGGCTGCACGATATTGGAAAAAAATAACATTGCGATTTTTTTAAACCCTTCGATATATACTGTAATATTAAAAATACAGGAATTTTCACCAGATGACCTGAATATTCAACTCAACTTCATTTGTTAAGCACTTTCAAACAACCACAGCTGAACAAAGTGCTGTACATAAATAGACAAAACAAAGCAGACATAAAAAACAATAAAAACAGTGGATAAAATAAAAGCAGATATTAAAAAGTTAAATACAGTTTCAATGTTTTTAAAAACTAATTTAAAAACATAGAAACAAATAATTAAAAACACTGAAACAGGAGCTGAGTCTCATGCAGGGTTAAAAGCCAATGAATAAAAATGGGTTTTAAGACGAGTTTTAAAAAATGGACAGTGTGGGGGCTTGTCTGGTTTGGAGGGGTCGCTCGTTCCATAATTTTGGGGCTGCAACAGAAAAAGATCTATCCCCTCTGAGCTTCAGTTTGGACCTCAGTACAGGGGTGAAGCACTTTATGCTGAATTTTTGTGGACAGTTAACCTGCTCTGATCTTCCCTCTTTTTGTGAATGTTTGTAGAATGGCTTCTGTCTGTCTCAGAGATAATTTTAACTTTTATTGTGCTGTGGCGTTATCGTGGCAACAGATGTAATACACTGCCGACACTTGTTTGGTCGACATCATCCTCCTTGTAACCCAAATAATTCCAGATACCTGACGTTGCTTTTCTTTTTGGCAACAAATCTTCATTTTCAGTCGTTTTCTCTTGTTCATTTCTCATTTTGCAATTGTTGTTGTCACTGTTGTCGCCTCCAAAAACGTGCACCGCTTACAGTAGAGTGGTCCATGGAAATGTACAATTTAAAACTCATTTAATTCTTATTTGTTGGACTAAACAGTGATGAGTAATGTTCCGAAGGTCATTCTCGACGGGTATATGTTTCTCGGCACAACACCGGCAGCGCCAGCGACTCACTCCATGTGCAGGACATGGTTTCCTCCTCTCTGATAGCTGGCAGTGTAATCTGATTGGCCATTGAGTAAAGAACCAATGTGATTGGTGTTTCACTGCACAGCACATGCAGAGTCGCATGCAGTGTTTCTCTGTCAGCTACCCTTGAAATTAGATTAATCATTTTGCCTCCGACATCGCAGGCTCTGCAGTGTGACTATCGTGCACATGTACATCGCGATGACGATGCTCAAACGATATATTGTGCAGCTCTACTCTGAGAGTTTCAATTGTCCGACTTTTCTTTATGTATTTAAAAAAAAAAAAGACTTTTTTAATTTGCTCCAAAAATTTTTGTATCGCGGCAGCCTCCACTAAAAATCTCCAGGAGGCTCGGCAGCCTCAAGCAACTGTGCTGATAAAGCGATATCTGCGTCTTCTATTACAACCCAGTGTGGTGTAATATAATGTAAGCGAGCTGTCACCTGTTGATTTAGATGTGTATTTTAAGCTCGAAGTTAAAAATGTGGGCGGTTAGGGTAAAAGTTTAGGGAAAAGGAGAGGAAGTTTCGCTCTTGTTGTTGAGAAAGTAGATTTTCATGTGTTTATTAAAGTGAAATTTCCATGAATGGCTCTCCGGGGCTCCTGTCTAACATTCAGCTATTAGCAGGAAGTGTCAGTTTGCTTGTTTTGACTGAGTGCAGGCAGATGCCACCCCGCTGTGCGTTTTGTTGTTTTTCCTAAACCTACACATCTCCGGGGCAATCTATCCGAGAAATAAGCGCTCTTCGGTGAATTGTTAGTCTGATTACATCTCGAAGAGACGAGTGTGTGTTTGACTTTGTTTTCAGACAACAACAATCCCACTTCAGATGTCTCAGGGGCTCAGCCTCCCTTTGACAACGGGGATCCGCGGACTGTGTGGAGTGCAGAGCGGGGAGTGGGAGCGGCACAGTCAGAGGATTAACATTGGAGCTAGTGGCTAAAGCAAGCGGTGCCCACAGGTCAGATTAGACGAATGTAAAGCCTGCAGCCCCCTTACATCGCACTTTGAAGTAGGGCTTACAACCTCGGCTTTAAGACGCAGAGTCGATGGTGAAAGGAAGCATCATTTTTGTCCCTTTTTTTCCAATGAGGGATCAGGAAGTGTCGTACCGAGTATCTTGCAAATGTCTCACAGGTATATGTCACACCTGTTAGGATTGGCTTTGTTTCACTTTGCTATAGGAGTTTTATTTTCTCTTCTTTGGGTCATAAAATGTCTCAAAAAGTCTTCAATTGGACTTTTAAAAGTTTGCTGTGAATGTCTGTGGGAAAAGAAAAAGTACAGTCCTTTGAAACTCCGATAATCAAGTCCCAGTCGGGGTTAGGCTTGCATCAGAGTTGTTCCAAAGGTTTAAGGTTTTCTGCTTATTGGGCTCAATAATAATGTACATATCAGGCTTTATCCTCATTTGGATGTTTTAGAAATGTCTGAGTTTGGACAGTCGCGTCAGAGAGCGGGGATTTGGGCACCCAAAGGTTGCACGGCAACAGGAGAAAAACCGAAATGAGATGAGCGGCAGAGACGGAGAGCATGAAGATTTTCTCTTAATAAGGCTGATTTATTATGTGCATAATTTTACATATGCCCATATTAAGCTTGAGGCTTGCAGACTTCACTCACAGCTGTACAGCACCAGTTGCATACATGAGGGGACTTCGTGGGTCTGTTTCTTGCATTGCCAGTTTAGCCGTGATTAACTTTCAAAATGCAAATTTAAGAGCTTATCATGCTTGGAAATAGGTTTAATTTAAAGTCTTATTTGGGGAAATTGCTAGTTAAACTGCCCAAACTTTAATGTTTACGCCAAATTCATTTTCTACTTCTATCTTTTTTGTCTTATTTTCTGCACAAACACTCTCAGTTTTACCGCCAGCCTTGTAGAATTTGTCCCACCCCTTTGTAAAGAAAGTCTAATTCTTTCACAGGTAACGCTAGCTTTAATTTACCGCCAGATAATGACGGCGTAATGATGCCAGACTGATTTCCTGGTGTTATTTTGAAGTCTTAATCAGACATCATCGTGCCGCTGCAGACAGCTGCAGCACATGAACCCACTTTGACGGACCAGATATAAACTCCTCTTGACTCTTTTGTAACCCCAAGGCCTGATTTTCCCATTTTGTCTCTGTTCTCGAGGACACTTTGTAATAATGCTCCTCCCTTGACAGTCCGTGTTCGGTGTCAGCTGCTACTTTGAGGATATTGGACAGTAATGTGCGGCAAATTTGTCCCACGATTGATGTGATTTTGAGATTGTGTAAGAACAGTCCAGCTAAAGAATGGTGCCTGAAGTGAAATTGAGTTTGGCGTGAAGCCTCAGAAGGAGAAGCCTGAGAAAATATTATTTTCAATTCTCCTCAAATAGTCCCTTCAGGAAGGAGGTACGAAAAATGTGTAGATGTGCACACCATGGCGTCATCTGCGTATAAAGAACCCAAATCTATTTTTGGTGATGTTTACGCTGTCTTTTTGTGCTTAGAATCAAACAAAACCACACTATTAGAGGACTTCTCTATTAATATTTTAGAAAATGATGAGAAAAACTCCATGAAAGCAGTAAACAGGAGAACGAAGGCACCAATTTGTAACAGGAAACAAAATTGGACAAGCTCCAGTGACAGTGCTTTTAAAACTGACCCGACTAATACAAGGGTTAGGTGTGATTTTGATCTCCGTGCAATTAAATTAAGCTTACTGCTTCAACAAACTGGTATCGGTTTGTTTAGTAGAGGGAAGTAAGAGAGTTAGTGGTGGGTTAGCAACAATGAGGTCCAAGATTAAACGGTCCAGCACAAACTTTAAAGGTCCTTTTTTCCGCGGGGCGAAAAGCGTCTTTTATTTTTTCGCTCTTTTGTCGAATTTTTCGGAGATTCGCAGGCGAATATCTGGACCTGCTAGACCTCTGGCCAATCAAAAGTCATGTTGTTGATGATATTCATTTATCAAGCACGCTATGGCGAACCCATCCAGCTCCTCTTGGAGACGAGTGAGCTATAGATGAGCTGTTATGTGCTTATATACATTATAACGGGGCTGGGGGCCCGGAGCTTTCAAGAAAACGGGACTTTGTCTCATTCAGATAGAATATTGCCCATTATTTTAATCTTACCTCAGACATGTGGCGAGCCGCTCCTCTGGACCAATTGGCTCTCTGTAGTTAGTTGTCTGCTTCTCCAGCCGTGGGGTCAGCTGCTGGAGGAGGTCGTTAAATCGCCCGAGGGACATTCTAAAATACTGGCGGAATTTTGGGGGGTAGAACTTCGCTTCGCAAAATTTATATGCATATTCGCTTCGCGCCCGGTGTGTATAGGCGAAAACGATTTTTCGGACCGGCAAATATTTTCGCATTTTCGTCTCGCTTTTTCGCTTCGCTCTGCAAAATCTCCTGTAAGGAACTTAACTCTAAATTTCACTGTTACTGAATACCCAGTCTATCTTATCTGTATCATTACACAACTGGCCACATAGGGTGACTTTGATCGCAGCGCACATCCTCAATTTTTGTAGAAAATCACCACTGTATCACTTTACTGTGGTCAAGAGCGCCATTCAGTGGTCAGGTTACGACGAGAGTGGATTGATAATCATGACAACGATCCAGAAAAGTAAGCCTGTGTTTCCTCTCTGTGATTTTCTGTCTTTGAATTTGGGTTGCCATGGGACAACTTCCACCGCCCCCGTTTTTTTCACTTTGTAGGAGTCAGACTTTGTGTCTTGATTCAATAAAGCGACATAGATGCCGGAGATCCATTTCTTAGAGGGATGCGGCACACAGACATCCCAAAACCTAGACAGAGGATGGATATGCAGACAGATGATGCCGGGGGAACGGGGCCATCACTGGAAATTTAGCGTCGTGTCAACATCAGCTCTGACAGCTTCAATCCGGCGCTCACTCTGCCGGAGTCGCACAGTCAGAGGGCCTCCAGCTGAACTCCTCAACCCTGCAATTTCATTTCCCTTCTTCAGAATAACATTTCTGGAGGAATATTACTCGACATAACTATTTTTATGTTAATATTAACCTTCACCATGTTCTGTCGCTGCAGTCACAGAATGTGCCCGTTCGTTTTTGTTCCTGTTCATAAAATAAATGCCAAATAAGACGGCTAATGTCATCAGAATTACGCAGATTCCCTCCTCGCACTGATCATACCTTTTTTTGTTGTATTATAGTATTTACGGCGCGACTCATATGAAGCAGAACTTATTTGAAAATTCGGTTGTTAGTTTTGTCAATGGAACCTCTCTGTCAGTTTTACACTTGGATGCTGCTTCAAAGACTCTCTTCACACCGTCAAAATGTATAAAGCTAAATTCAAAAGAGCGAGGACACTGTGTAAAATGTTCACAGACGCGAGTTTCAGAAGTTTGTCGATCAGTTAAAGTTTATAAAACACTGAAAAAGTTGTGCAACGCTAAAAACTTCAAGATTACCTTCTAACTAATCAAGTTAATTTGGAGACATGACTGAGTATTAAAACAGGATTCTAGTGAGGCTGAGTCTATCACATGGAAAGAGAGACAGAAATGAGAAGACCGCCTGAGTAAATCGGACAATAGCTGCAGAAAAAAAGGGGAAAAAACTCACCTGAAGATTTAAGGAAACGAGGCCAAGGACTGATGATGAAAAGCCGAAAACATACAGGAGCGTGTTCTGTATTTGCTCCGTAGAGCAGCTCTGGGTATCACAGACAGGAAGCGTATTTGGAGCGTAGCAGCAGCGTTGTGCAGCCCCGGTCAGCTGGACTCAGTATAGAGGAAACAACATGATCACAACAGGTTGTTTTTCCTTTCTGTGGTCGATTTCCTGATAATTTGGATATAATTCAGTAAAAAGCAACCTGATTTTACAGTTTTGGTTTCTGCAGGTTTACTTGTGTTTAATAAAGTAAACTATGATCCTTTCTGCTGTTACCTTCAGACAGAGTTAGCAGTTCAAAGTCCTGTTGGGGTCCACATGGATCAGGGATTGACCAACAGATAGTTCTGTGTTACTGATAAATCCAGAACCAGGAAGTATTTCTCATCTACATGAACTGATACACAGTCAGGAGTTCACATATGATGTTTTATTTTGAAATATCGGGTGACATGCGCGTTTTTTGTGTTTGACTTCCTGTCTGGAACGATCTTCTCTGTGGGGATTGACGCGCATTGGAAGCAAAAATAGATTCGCCGCGTATTTTTAGCAGTGCTGCTTTCAATATGATGCTGCAACGGAGCTGATACACGTCCTGAATGCTTCACTACATTGATTGGAATGGCAACCTATTTGCTGCGTGATATTAGCCTTAAGGTGGTGATCTTTGGGCCCTCAGGTACCACTGTATTCATAATCAAAATCCTTTATCTGTCACTGTACGCACAAATGTAGGTCTGACAAATCAAGACCTGACATTATTTTGGAAACTATGGACGCCATATTCTCTGAGGATCGTGGACACCTGGCTTGTTATTGATGAACAGTTAAAAAGCCAGCATCTTTGATATATGGAGATGCATTAGTGAAGATGCAGATGCTGAAGTACATGATACATGCATTGTGACAACATGGCTCAGTAGTAGAAGAGTCCAGGTGCTTAATAGACCCACCTTCAGTTCTTATTTGTCACCTATAAAAAACGAATATCACAAAAAATAAACGAGTAAAGAGACCTTGAACTGTGGAGGAAATCCTCTGTGAGTTATACGGACTTTCAAAAGTCCCTAAAGTTGCTCTTCTTTGTTTCTTCAGTGTTGTCAAATTAAAAGCTCTGATACTGAACTTCTCTTTTGGATTTTTTTTTTTACAGGAAAAAAAAATTGAAAATGTTCAAATATCTATTTCTTTTGCTAATGAGCTTTTCCTTCTTTTCTTTCCATGCTCACCAATGGGATCTCTACTCATCTCTTCCTGTTGTCCTCTCCCGTCCAATGGGGATGCTTCATTTCTGCTGACTTCATCAGGTAAGAGAAACTCGTTTTCTCATCTCTGCTGGTTTGAAAAGCGTCTTCAGGTCGTGAAGTTTGTCTTCAGCTGATTGGTTGAGTTTGGATATGTAGTTGGATGAATACTGGAACTTCTTTGAGACTTCCTCCTGGGATCCCTGGATCATTTTTCAGCGGCGACATGCTCGTATTTGTTAGTTTTTTTAAGGAGTAGAGGCTTGTGTTGTTGTTTTCTCCGGATAGCGTCTGCGTCTTGAAGTTTCTTCTATATGAAAAGTAGGAGAGAAGAAAAACAACAACCGCTGAGATAAAAAGAAGTTCGCTGACAAAAAAAGGAAATCTGACCTCAATAAAAATCAAGATGACGAGCCGAGAACTCAGAATGACTGCGCTGACCTGAATACGAGCAGGTTCCTCAGAGCAATATCTAGCAGGGAAATTTAGGGCTACATGCAGGCTAAATAGCCTTTTAAATAATTCATAGTTTGCTCAGCACTTGGCTGCATTGATAAGCTGCCCGCTTAACATATCGAGGGCATGAATAAGTGAAAATCAGATCCACACAAATGCGCCGCTCTGCTTTATCACACAAAGACTTCCTGCGCGTGGCTGGGAGGTACGACACAAACAGGTGTGATCTGAGCGTCTTTGCAAAACGAGCAGCTGAAATCCAAAATGGCGGCGGTGTGGGTCCCTGATGGGAGCTGTAGTTCAAGAGGAAGTTTCAGAAGCGTGGCCCCCGGCAATGTCACAAGCTACAAAACTATACACCATGCTCATCAAAAGCAGCTCAGCAGCCCTTCCAAAGGTTTGCTTTTTTGTCGCCTTAGGCGCCCGGAGCTCCATTCGGCAGCGCTTTTCTGCTTCATGTCTGATCATTAGCGCCACATGAAAGCAGCGGGCGGACGGCGGAAATGATCCCACCTAGTTTTCATTTGTATCATCGCAGACTTTGAGACAATCACGCCGAGAAACCAGCTCGTTTCTTTCCTGCGGGGAACTTGTTTGTTTTTGGAGAACAAAACCTCGCGAGCCTCCCATGACTTTTTATTCAGCGGATGTGCTCTCTTGTAGATTTTTGGTGTAATATTCTGCAACAAATTGGATTAAAAAGTCTCAAAAACACGGTCGGAGATCATCCACAAGTCAAGTTCATAGCCTGGAGGCTCAGACTGAGCCCTGCTCGCTGTGTTTGTGCTGGTTTTACAGTGAGTGTGTGTGAGAGAGAAAAAGCTTGTAGTTTTATCCCTTTAGAGACGAGACATGTCCGAGATGTGAAAAGCCCTTCAAAAAAAAAAAAAGTGTTTTCCTCGCTCGACACTTTGAAATTGGCTCGCGTCGTGCTCAGGTGTTTTTGGTGTAATGGTATTAAGCCCGAGTGTAGGGGTTAATGAACAAGTGGAAGTGGGGAAGAGGACGCTCCCAAACAAAACGTGTGTCTTTTGTGTGTGCATGCGCACACATGTGCTCAAGCCCTTAATCCTTTAACGGGATTACAAGCTGCATTGTCCTTTGTTCACTTGTTCCTTTTTCCACCCACGTACGCGGGTAACGGAGAGATGTCGGAGCCCACATTCAGGATTACAATGTAATGTTTTCTTGATAGGCTGTGTGAGAGGGAAGCTGCCTGTGAGAGTCTTTTTTGACTTACTCTACAATCCCATTTTTATACGACATGTGGCACTGAGCAGAAATGGATGGTTTCCAAATCATTTACAGTCGATCTTTAACTGAAAATAGTGCCAAAAAAATTTAATTAGATGTTGAAACTGGAAAATGTTTTTGTTTTATGAAAGATATACTCTCTTTGTTAATTTGAGATCAGGAAGAAGTTTCAGAAAAAGTTAAAAAATAGACAGAAAATGCTTAAAATGTTCTGAAAATGCAAATGAAACAACTGGAGAAGCTTTTACTAACTAATTACAGTTATTTTCAACCAGTTGGTAGCATAAAAGGGCACTCTGGAGAGGCTGAGTTATTAAAAATTAAAGATTAAAAGAGGTTCACCAATCTGTGAGAGACCGAGTAAGAAAATAGTCCAGAAAAGTGTCAAATGAAGTTGGTTTGATAAGAAAATCGGGAGAAATCACTTCACAAAATTATGGAATTATGGGGGTTTTATGGCTCACAGGAAATATAGCATTAAAAACAGATAAGACTCTGTAGTCCGAGTCACCGCAATGCCTCAAAATCAGTTTCAGTTTCAGTTTATTTGGATCCACCATTAGTTACAGCAAAGAGCCCCAACTATTCCTCCTGGGGTCCATCTACACTTCTGAACAACATTTTCATCCTTCTAACAAACATCTACATCCATACCATCACTCCTCCCACACAGCAGCTCCATCATTCACCTCCTCTTCGAAGAACACGACAACAAAACAATATTCACAGAACAATAAAAGAATAAAGTGGAGAGACAAACCGAGCTCTCATTCAAGGTATCCCATAAGTAAACAAAAACATTTTCAATTTCTTATTAAGATTAAATAATTTGGTAATCGATTCCATGCCACCGTGGCTCTGTAGTGAACTGTTCCCTCTGATACCTGCCTCGTACAGTGTTGATCTACCTCCGCAAAAAAAAAGAAAGTGTTCTAGAGAGTTACTGGAATTTTGTTTGTGATAATATTTTTCATGAAAGATAAAAGCGAGTAGTGTCGCTCGCTTTTAACTAGTGCTGCAACTAACGATTATTTTTTTGTCGACTAATCTATCGACTAGTCGTCCGATTAATCACTATCTTCTTTATTTGTAAACACCTATTTCCGGGATGTCGGCGTTTCAGGTGCTCATGCATCGCCGTGGTGCTGCCATGGTAGGAAAGCTGAGCTTTTGATCGACGTGTTTTTTTGGTTTGTTCGCCGTAAAATGTTCCCAAACTTTTGAAGTTTTGGGTCGGAGTTTTGGAGCGTCTTCTTCAGTTTGTTCTGCCATAATGTGTGCACTCTTCTTCAGTGTTTGCTCGCGGGATGTAAACAGCGAGCGCTACTGCCCCCAGCACATCCTGTAGTGCACTGTAGTTATAGATGAGCATGAGGCGCCGGCATGTGATTCTTAACAACAATAACACGACGCGTCGATGCTTAATTTTCGTGTCGATGAATTTGTCGTGTCGACGTAATCGATTACGTCGACTAATTGTTGCAGCCCTACTTTTAACGTTTAACCAGATGAGCTGATTATGCATTATGGCACTACTAGTTCTGTGTGGACAGTTAAGAATCATGTGAGCAGCTTTATTTTGGGTCACTTGTAGCTTGTGTAGATTGTTTTGTTTCTGTGTTGGACCAGATGACCGCACCGTAATCTAAATATCGATAGATTAAATTTCTTACAGTGTCTAACTACAGCTGTGCCTCAAACTCTAAAGATGGTTCCATGCAAAGAAGTAACCATATAAAATCAGTAACTCTCCAGACAGTGTAATTTTCAGAGAGGACCTTTCATAATAAAGCGAGAAAATCACAGACCCGTACAGAACACGAGTTGTAACTTTATAATGCGAGCCAAGACATGGATGCGTATTATTTATGTTTGTTTGACACAAAACAAGTAAAAACAAGAGTATACATTTGCAAAAAAGTTGACAGCTGTTACACTTCAAGGTTCAGCAGGCACTAAGCGCCCGCCTCTCTCTACTTTACATCGCCGTTTCTCAGCCACGAGGGGTTAAAACTCCATGCAGAGCTGCGTGGGATCCATTAAAAATCTCCTCCGCTGTCTTCACTAGCCTTCACCGACGCACTCAGCTGCTCCAGTGGCCTTGCTGCTCTTATTTAAAATAACAGGATACCAGTGGGTGTTGCTCGCCAATTGTACAGCGAGTAAAAATGCCTCCAAATAAAAGAGTCCACGTTTATTTCTTGCTGGTGTTTATGTTTGTGGCGGCGCTGCATCTTTACAGTCGAATAAAACAGTTTGACATACAGTGGGCACAAATAAATGCAGGCACTTGAGGCCTTGCTATGTTGCTTAAAGGGACATACCGGCAGTTTTACTCCATTAACTGCAAATTGCATATAGCTTGCTTTATGGATCCCCATTTCAAGAAGGATAGAATAAGCAAGTTTTTTAGATGGATTTCCTTCTTTGCAGCCATTTTTCCCGACTTTTATTACTGCACCACGAGGGACACGACTTGCGCGGGCTTCAAACATCCATTTTTCTTTCCTTTTGAGGAACTTGTAGAGCTTTAGGGACGATCTTTGCGAGCATATTTCAGCTGAATGCGTGAAAAAGTACATGTATGTCATCTGATTTACATCTCCCATCAACTAGTTCCTCCTATTTTGAGTGTAGGAAAACTCTTTTACTCCCACGGCGTCTTCTCGCATTAGCGTTGAATCCCAAACAAACACAGCGGTGAAGTTAAGGACGTATTTAGAGAGGAATTAGAGGAGCTCAGACAAGTTTTGAAGTCCTTAAGAATGGATTTCGTGGCACGCTGAATAAATTAAAAGGTTACCTGACTGAGAACAAACTCAAAAATGTGCCTCGCTTTTAAGCAGGTTGCTTTTTGTATGCACTCTTTTGATAATAGGCTGAAACATCCAAACAATTTGTAGGTGTGAAAGTTATAATGCTGCATAAATACACCCAGAGTCATTTTGCTGCATTTCCAATCATGCATCTCTTGGCCCACAGAGCATACAGCTTAAAAACACAAGCACAGGAAATAATGGATATGCCCATAAACACAGTATTTTTAGTGGAATAAGTGTCAAGTGGCCACTTAGCTGGGCTCTGCATGCAGGTAGATGGAGGGAAAGAGGAAGGCGAGAGCTGCACCGGTGAGGTAATGACAACCCGGGCGCTGCATCCGAAGTCAACAACTGGAATAGTGACGGCGGAGCTCGAATTATCCCTCAGGGGAACGGCCTCGTGTGGATCCATCAGTACATTTGTGACTGCGTGATTGACACCTGAGCCGAAGGGTCGTGTGTTTTTGTTGGTTTATCGAGTGAGGAGCTAAAAGTGGACGAAGGCATTCGGAGCTCATCCGGTGATGCACGGCGGCTGACAGAGGCATCGATTTTTTTTTTTTTCAGCAGATCAAAAATGACAAGATCAATATTATTGAGGCCGCCATAGGAGATCAAAGTGCGATCCTGTAAGAGCACCTAAATGTGGATGTTAATGATGACCTAGTTTGTTCGAATCTATTTTTACGACACAAGAGAAACACGCAGTACATTGATCTATAAGTCAAACATGCTTGTTTTACACTTAATGCCGCATTTTATGATCATGTTTGAATGACTGGATTTCACATTGGTCACGGTTAAAACAACTCACGCCAAAAATCTAACTACACCAACATGATTAACATTGTTTTTGGTTCAACATGATCAAAAGTCCTTAGTGCCGAAACATTCTTCATGCCATACGTAACGTTTAGAGTACTTGATTAAACATTATTCACTCTTTTGCCCATTTTGCACCAAAAGTTGCACTTTTCTGTGAATTTATTTTATAACTAGCACGTTTTCAGGTACTTGTTTTTTGTTTTGAAGATTGAGCTTTAATTTTATCTTCTCAGGCAGAAAAATAACTTTATGTACATTGGATCATTATGTTAAAATCACTGTATCAACACGGAGCCTGATTTCACTCATTTTGCACCAAAAATTGCACTTTTTAGCTCGTTATGTCGAACCAAACAAAAACTATTTGATCCCCTCACTATCAGGTATGTTTTAACTTTAATTGAACATGTCAAACTTTTTATGCACCAAAGAGTTCACTCATATGTTTTGCACTTGGGGCCTTGATAATGCTTTTGCTTTACACCCAAAATTGCACCTCTCACCACACAGTCTCGACAAAGAAATCACCACCCACCCCCATGAGTATCTTAAGAAGAAAACTGCGCCGTTTGATCCAGAATTTGTCCAATAATCACTTTGTTTTGAGTGTTTGTTAGTAAAAAACACCATCCTGTAATTGTCATCTGTGTTTGGAGGAGCTTCTAACAGCTAACTCAGCACATGTAATTAGCAAGTTGTTAAAAAAAAGCTGATTGGACCAATTACCTTTGAACGAACAAAAGGGTCAGATTTTGAATAAAGTGAGGCCGTCTTCCTGTTTCCTCTCAAATGTTCCAGAAAACAAAAATGAGAGCACCCAACAAAGCGATGATGGATGCTCGATGGCACTTATTCTTACCTCTCTGTACAAGTGAATCATGTAATTGGTTTGTTTGTCTATTTCTCCCTCCTCTGCTCATCACGCCTGCTGCGTCCTACTTTTATTCTACTCCACACCGTGAAAACAATCTCCTTGAAATATCTCTGCAGCGTCAGGGAAAAAAAGAAAAAAAAAGTGGGCTGCATCTTCCGTCAATTAGTGTTTCTCGCCATATGTGATACTCAGGTATTCTGTTTGTGAGCTGCAGCTTGGAAATGTCACATCCTGTCTGCGGTAATCCAGTTAAGCGTCGCGGTGGCCTCGTGCTGGAGCTTTTTTCAACACTAATCAATTATGTGTCGTGGACATACAGTAACTCTTCTTTGCTTATTCATGGATGCATAGACATAATCATAAAGACTGTTTTTGCATATTTTGTTGCCAACTCTAAAGCTCATTTACAGTCAATAGATTTATGCATGAAAGGGATATTTGTGTGCAGCACTCCCATGCTTTTGAACAACCTCCAAGAATGACGTCAAGTTGATTTAAAGCACATCCAGGAGCTGTTAAGGGAATATTTACAGTAATATAACATAAAGCAGTTTTAATGGTGCAATGAAGACTTTTCGTGGTTAGTAGTTGTGAAGATATCTCAAGTTTGTCCACATTTTAACCTTTGGCAACAGATAAAGAGACAAAATAAGATTTTTATTAATATTAATTTTTATTATTATTTTTATTAAATATTAATCTAATTTGAAATTTAAACCAAAATCTATCTTTGACTGTCGTTTGGCTTAAAAAATCAGTTTATCGAGTGATAATTATCTTCCTTGTCGTCTCAAACCAGCTGTCTAAGAATGCAGAGGTGGAAAAACACCACAACAAATTTGGCGAGTGCTCCAGGAGAACGCACATCCCTTATCAGTAGTACTTTCTGACATGGATTATTGAAGGCCCTTTTTTTACTCAACAATATTTTTATTAGTTTTATACAGATTAATACAGTACAGCTTTTTAAATAGCACAAGATACAAAGGACACACATCACAAACGCCCCCTTTCTCTCAAGACCGTGTCTACTGCCGGATA